CCCCCTGTTTTTTTAGCCTTAGTTTCAGATTTTTGAACATAGCGCCAATCGAAACCCTGGGTTTTTTTTCCATTTTTTTTTTTTTTCATTTTGAGCACTAGTTTCAGATTTTTGAACATAGCGCCACTCGAAACCTTGTGCAAACATTGCGCCTGTTTTTCCTATACAAGACCTATATAGCCGTACCCAGTGACACCCCTCATCATTTTTCTCTAGAATCCATGGAATAGGCAACCCCCCCCCCTGTTTTTTTAGCCTTAGTTTCAGATTTTTGAACTTAGCGCCAATCGAAACCCTGTGCAAACGATGCGTCTGTTTCTCCTCTACAAGACTTATATTGCCAATTAATCATGGGTAAGCAAATCTTTTTTCTATCACCAAAAGTTTAATTTCTGCAAATTTGTTTGTAAGTTCATTTAAAGAAAGACATCAACATGATCAAATGTGCTATTTTTTTTTCAGGGACGGACTATTTTTATATAGGTTCAAAATTGAAGTGGGTGCAATGGTATAGTCTACAACCAATCCGTTGACATGTGCAGATTTACTGTGGTACTGAATGTTTTCCAGAAAAGGAGTGTGGCTTGTTTTATAAACAGATGTGGTAAATCCCATTTCATGATAGAGATGTAAATTGCAATTTCTGGACGGAATTTCTGCCTTCTTAAATATTTCTTTAACGGCCGTTGCTGTCTTTTTCAATTTTTCTTGTTTTAGATATATCGCCTTGTTTGCTCTAGTTAATTATTGTTCGCTTCAGCCTGGTCTATTTATGAGTACTATTCTTGAATATAACATGATTTTGTAAATTGAAATTAATTACGTATACATGTATTATTATTCAAATAGTTCGTAAATTAAGTTCTATTTTAAATGTATTACTGTTTTTGTGTGTATTAGTGCATGTTTTATTGTATAATTAATGTTTAATTAGACATGGTGATGATCACATCTTTAAGCAAAAAAATAAAATAGCCTTTCACGACGTCATAATTACTTTGATTTGGACTAATATTTTGTATGCATTCAATACTCCAGTGTTCATGTAGGTGTCTTTCTCCTATTCATAGCCAGAAATTAGTAGTACTTTTGCTAATTTATATTCATAATATGTAAATGAGAATTGTACCACGTGATAATAGTTTGAACTGGACTGGCTTGATATCATTAAAATCTTTAAAACACGGATATTATAAGTTGTCCTTGTTTATAATCACTCTGATATTTCCGTAAAGTTGTCAGGCGGGCAAAATCAAAACAATGAACGCGAATTTAATTTTTGATAAATAATTTTCAACTAAGATTTACTTGTATTTTTAAAAAGAAAATATATTTCTTACACTATTTAAGTATATTTAAAAAAAAAATTTTTAACTGTTTATTTTATTTGTAACATGATTATAAAATCATTGAATTTCTAAACTTAAAAAATTGTCATCCGAAGATAGATAAAATATTATAACAAACTTTTTCATCTGTCAAGAATTCCAAGTACTACAAACGCAAGAAGAACCTACCATTTTTACAATAAATTGCTTCACCGAGCGCAGCTGGATACGACCGCAGAGGTCCAACCCTGAACAGTTGGGGCAAAAATGGACACAATATTCGCGTCTGAATTTGGATTGAATTAAATATTTGACACATAATAGGTTTCTGACACAGAATAACTGTAGTCAAAGAACTTAGAATTGGTTATATGATTTGAATTTATATTCAATTTTTTGCTTTTGTGCAATACACTATGCTGTTGCGAATTGACCCCCCCCCCCCCCCCCCCCCCCCCCACAAAATTTTTTATTTTACCCCCCCCCCCCCTATATTTGAAGGAATTTTCTTTTTAATTTCTGAAATCTGAATGCCCCCCCCCCCCCCACCACACACAATTCCCCCCCCCCCTTTTTTCCAAAAAAAAAATTCTTTCCCTCATGATATGGTCATTATCATTATCTCAATTCAAATTTCCAATGGAGTTTGCAACCATAATTACCCATTTAAATACATCATAAAAGTCTTAAAATAAAAAATGACATACATAATCATGTCTAAAATTAATATTCCTTAATCAGCATTTTTAATAGTAACTTCTAAAAATAAATTGACAGCTAATCACCTCAAGACAATACAACATTTCTTTATACATAATTTAAAAGCAGTGTAAGGGGGGTAATCCAAACACAAAACATTTACTTAAAAGTAATTGTCCATTAACAAGGAAACCCTTGTTTTCCCCCTTTTTTGCCCCAATTCCTAAACGGTTTGAGCCATTACCCCCCCCCCCCCCCTTCCCCCCAAAGCAAATTCTTACCATCCCTTTGTGGTATGGAAACTTGTGGTATAATTTCAGAGAGATCCATACACCGTTCCACAAGTTATTGTCTGGAAACTAGAAAAATGCTTATTTGGGCCCCTTTTTGGCACCTAATTCCTAAACTGTTAGGACTATAACCCCCCCCCCCCCCCCCAAAAAAAATCAATCCCACCTTTCCTTTTGTGGTTATAAACCTTGTGTTTAAATTTCACAGATTTCTATTTACTTATACTAAAGTTAATGTCCGGAAACCAAATGTCTTCGGACGACGCTGACGACGACGACGACGTGATACCAATATACGACAAAATATTTTGATGAAATTAACATAGATTGTATTTGGGCACGTACTACAAAAGGTGACCCATTCCTGCAATAAACAGACGACAACACAGTTGGGCGTATGTTAATCTACAGTACTCAAAATAATCTAACACACTTATCAGCTGCAGATATCATATATGATGATAGTATATTTTACTACTGTCTGAGCCTATTCTTCCAATTATTTTACACATTCCATGCAATGGTTGACGGTGCATTGTATCCACTGGTACACAGTTTACCCTCAGCCAAGAGCAAACTAGTTGATACAAGGTTCCTGACTTTACTCAAAGATATTTGCCACCAACACCTACTACAACTGCAGCCTACCACTATCTTCCTGCACTATGAAGTCGCCGTCCAAAATGCAGCATATTCTGTATTTCCTAGCATCAACGCAAAAGGCTGTTTTTTCCAATACACACAGTGCATCTGGAGACGCACAAGAAACGGGGATCCAAGTTCCATACAAGGAAGACAGCAACATTTATCAACTATTAATCCGTGCCGTAGTCATTCCATTTGTACCTACTGCTGAGGTCGAAGATGTATTGTTTAATGCCCTAACCGACATAGACCAGATTGATAACATCAACTACACGCCCTATAGAGACTATGTAACAACATACTGGGTCGAACAGAACAGTAACCTTTGGGACCACTACACAACACAGGGACCGAGGATTACACATTATCTAGAGGGATGACACAGCAAGCTTAAAAATCATGTCCATCACCCACATCCAAACATCTTTAAACTCATAAAACTACTGAAACACGAGGAAGCTTTTAACGCCCTGACCATGCTCTAGTATGCAGCCAGAGAGTGCCTCAAAAACGAAAGTATGTTGAAATCAACAACAGATTGGGGAACTTAAGGGTAGACACCGCAACCAGGAAGTTACAACAGTACAGTTTGTAATGAATCCTCCCACCTTCTTCGCGTTGAATAGATCAATAAACTTTTAATAGACTTATATACATCGAATTTCTAATGTGTGTGCTATAATGTGTTAAATAATATTTGTTTTAGTTATTTTTACTTGTATTGTTGGTTTTATATTATAATGCTTGCTGAATTTACTGTTGAATTTTTGTTATAAAAGAAATATAATATTTGTATTTGTTTCCATTTCTTTCATATTTATTTTAATTAAAAACACATACACAAAAAAATATTACCTATCAAAAACACTTGTCAATTAACAGTTAGCTAAACAATGTTTATACAGTATAATCCTTTGTTTGCACAAGTTTTCCCCCCTATTCCCTGATGAAATTTTAACTTTTCATACCAGATTTATAAAAAGTGGGAATAGGAGCACAGACACTCGTTTCTGTCAATGGGGGGTTTACTATCCACACTCGTACGAAAACGTGATTTTTTTGTACGAGTGTGGATAGTAACCCCGCCCCATTGACAGAAACAAGTGCCTAGCTGTGAATAAGAGGAATGAACCCCCACTGTATTACTGAGCTATTTAAACATAAACACCTGACCGGTATTGTATTACATTTGTTAGAGACATTGACACACTTCTAGAAGAATTTGTTCAGCCGAAATAATTTTCAGTACGATCCTTTTTAATTTCATGAGAATTTTACTGAATAAGTCATATTTTTAAAGATTAAGAAAAAAATGCCCTAAAAAATTAAAGAATATGTATCGTATGACCCTCATACGAGGAAGTTTGATAAGTTTAGAAAACCGGTTTTAGTTTCGGTTGGGAACCTGTTTGGAAGAAAAAAAATAGAACGTTTATCAAATCTATCAGTTTAGCTGTTTAGATACATAGTCGCTTGAGTTTAGGCGATTAAATAAAAAATAATAGCACTAAAATGTGTTACTCTGATGCAAGAACAACGCGCAGGATGCAAGTTGAGCAGGTGGTCACGTGATTAATTAACCATAGACACGTCACCTGCAAACAAATTTGTTGATATAAAACAAGTTAGAAATCACAGTGAAATAAATAAAATAATTCAAAGTACAAAAGACGACTATAGATAAGATAAGATAAGATAAGAATTTTATCAATCTAATCAAGAACCCATAAAGGGCATCATTTACAACAATATTAAGCACAATATGATTGGAAAAAAGAAAAACTAGATCCTAATATAATACTATCATATTATGGACAGGATCAGAGCCTAACACATCATGTGTCTTACATAACTATAACCTATAACAATAATTTCATAATAATTAAATATTATACTATATATAAAAGATATACTGTACCTGACTAAACTTGTATTGTGAATGTTTTATATAACATCATTGTAAATATTGGATTTTCTTTCTTTCTCTCTGCCCCTCGGGCACAGAATTGCTAATAAAATTTATCTTATCTTATCTTACCTTATCTTATAAGTCCGAGCAAAAATTTATCAGATTGAAATCCATAATTGGTTTTAGTAAATTATGCCTTGGAACAGCTCTAATATATATGTTCCTGATTATGCTTACTGTATTTCAACTTCAATGTTATCTACGTCATCTGACACCACACGGCACTGGGCATCTTTAAAAACGGTAACAGAATATTCCTAAACAAATATCGATGCATTTTACACCAGAAATTTTCCGACCAAATGAACGTCATTGAAAAATTCCAATTTCTATTTTTAGACGAAGAAAAAAAGACGCAATAGATCCGTTGGTCCCTTCAATTCCGTATTCGGCCTAAAACGGGTGTTCGTCCTGAAATTTGAAAGGATATCAGCAGCGATAATGTCTATTTTATATGCTGGAACGTTGAGTGAAAGTTCAACATCAAACTTGTCTGTAAAATGAAATTCAAAATTAACAAACTAAGATGATAACTTTTCACAAATTATTTAAATGATTAAAGTGTTAACAGATACATAAATACATGCTCATCCATGTTAGTCCGAATAATTATGACGTCTTAAGAGGCTATTTCATTTTACATTTTTTTTTTGCTTTGAAGGCTATTTCATTTTTTTTTTTTTCAAACATAAAAATAAAAAAAGCAGTTAGTGATGAAGAGCCGTCTTTTTCGAGTGTATGAAGCTGTACTTGTATGAATCTGTTCTTGTGTGTAATATTTATAAGTGATTGTTTTGTCAAGTACTATTGTTCCTGGCGTTTGCTAGAATGTCTGTTGTTGGTATGTTCGCTTTACCATTGAGCCCTTTGTGCAGCAATATAATAATGTTGTCTCCTTCTATCATGAAGTGATTTCCAGTTTATGCTTTTTGATATTTTGGTCATGCTGCCTTCTTCTATGGAATAGTCATTTGTGGTAAATCTAGCTCCTCATGTTTGTACTTTTTTAGTTCATTCTCTAAGTATAAGTGTAAATGGGATCACAAACTTTACCTGCGTATTCTAATATTAGTCTCACAAAACTAAGATATGAGGTTGCCTTCACATCCAAGATTGGATTTCAGCAGGACTCTGTTCGCTTTTGATGTTACCTCATGCAGTGTTTTTCCCATCCTAAGTTATTTTATATGGTCACTACTAAGTATTTGATGTTATTAAAGCATATCAATTTTGAACCTTTAAGTTTGTTCTCGAAGTCAATTTGGTGTTTTAATTTTTCTTGTTAGTTTCATCATGCTGAACTTTGCGGGTTGAAATCTCATAGCACATTTTCTGTTCGCAGCCCATGCATGCAGATCGAGTTAATTAATATAATTCTGTAGTTTTAAACCGTCTTCTATGGTATTAATTATTCTGTAACAGACACAATCATCAGCAAATAGTCTGATTTCCGGGTCTATATTATCCATAAGTACTCAAGATTCAACGATAGACCAGTCTGATTTTGTGCCATTTACCACGACTCTTAGGCTGTGATAGTATATGAATGAGCCAATCCAACATAATGCTTACCTGGTTTAATTTCGATTTAAGAAGTTCATGTAGTACAGTAATGAAGGCTTTTTCAAAGTCTTATATGAATTATATATGTCTGGTGGAATTTATCGATGTTTTTGACCCAATCATGATAACAAACACTGTGGTATTTACGAAAAGTATATTTGTTTTTCAGTGATGATCTTACATGATGATCTAGGTGACTCTTTTTGTTAGAGCTTACAATATGTTCGAGCGTCTTGCAAAGTATGCAATTTAAGGATATACATACTCAAACATTTTAATTATTTACCAAATTTACTATTTTACTCATTATTGTGACTTTTTTTCTGGATTATTCCCCCGGATGTTTATCCTTCAATCCTCATGATGGTATCTGACATGTAGTGTTTTCTTTAAACACGTATAAAGGTCAAAATTTGAAGGAAATTCATATATGAAAGGGTTTGGGATTTTTTTTTAAATCATTTGATGTTGACACTGTAGCAGCAAAAAAAATGTTTGGTATAACTTAGCAAAAACTTTGAACATTTTGAATATGAAAGTGAGGCGAAAGATACCACAGGGACATTCAAACTCAGAAGTAGAAAATAAACTGACAACGCCATGGCAAAAAGGCAAAGTCCAAAAGACCATCAACAGTACACAAAACACAACATAGAATACAAAAGACTGAGCAACACGAAACCCACCAAAAACAGGCCGATCTCAGGTGCTCCGGAAGGATAAGCAGATCCTGCCTCTCATAAGTCTATGACGTCAGTTTCAATTAAATATTACGACGAAACTTTATAAAACCTGGAAAGAATGTAACTTCTATTATTTTTGTTCTTTAGCAATCGTCTTCTGTGATGATAATGATGTTGATAGACATAATTTGTGTGACACGTTCAGTGACAAATATTACATAAATATTAGAACGAGAACATGTTTATGAAATATGAATATTTATCATGTTTTGTGTTTGACCAACACGCTGAGTCGGGCGCTTTACGTGCAGGTTCACAATGTAACAGTCTCCAGGGAGTCTCGACACCCTCCCCGGAACACATTCCTTATGCTTTGCTGTCAACCATAAATACCGCACGATTGTCGCGAAGCACACGTACCGATGTTCAAGTCTGGTTTGACACAGCTGGGATAGATACCATGAACTTTCGCACTTTTATTTCCTGGCTTTATTTGGAAGATGTATTTTGTGGATAATGACTTGTGATGATACCATTATTACAAAAATCAAGGACGTATACCGAGCTAGCTTAAAAATTCATTGAGTTGTCTCTCTTTAGCCAAATGTTGATGTCCTTCATGTATATTTACTCATTATACGACCGCAAAAATTTTGCGGTCGTATATTGGTATGACGTTGGCGTCGTCGTCGTTGTCGTCGTCGTCGTCCGGCGTCGTCGTCGTCCGAAGACACATTGGTTTTCGCACAATAACTTTAGTTTAAGTGAATGGATCTGTATGAAATTTTACCATAAGGTTCAATACCAAAAAAGGAAGGTTGGGATTGATTTTGGGGGTTATGGTACCAACAGTTAAGGAATTAGGGGCCAAAAAGGGGCCAAAAATAAGCATTTTTGTAACTTCCAGACAATAATTTGTGTGTTAGTGTATGGATCTCTCTGACATTGTACCACAAGGTTCTATATCACAAAGGGAATGCTGGGATTGATTTTGGGGGTAATTGCCTAAAAATTTTAGGAATTTGGGGCCAAAAAAGGGGCAAAAAACAAGCATTTTTTCTAGTGTCATGACAGTAACTTGTATGTAAGTGTATGGATCTTTCTGAAATTGTACTACAAGGTTCCATATCACAAAGGGAAAGGTGGAATTGAGGTTGGGGGTAATTGCCCAAAACGTTTAGGAATAAGGGGCCAAAAAGGGGCCAAAAATAAGCATTTTTCTAGTTTCCAGACAATAAATTGTGTTCAAGTGTATGGATCTCTCCGAAATTGTACTGCAAGGTACCATACCACAAAGGGAAGGCTGGGATTATTTTTTTTTTTTTTTGGGGGGGGGGGGGGGGGGTAATTGCCTCAAAATTTTTGGAATAAGGGGCCAAAAAGGGGCAAAAAACAAGCATTTTTCTAGTTTCAGGACAATAACTTGTGTGTAAGTGTATGGATCTTTATGAAATTGTACTACAAGGTTCCATATCACAAAGGGACATCTGAGTTTGAGTTTGGGGGTAATTGCTCATAACGTGTAGGAATTTGGGGCAAAAAAACAAGCATTTTTACAGTTTCCAGACAACAACTTGTGTTCAAGTGTATGGATCTCTATGCAATTGTACTGCAAGGTACCATACCACAAAGAGAAGGCTGGGATTGAGTTTGGGGGTGATGAATCATAAGGGGGTTCAAAAAGTTGGAGTAATTTTTTTTCCTTTTTTTCCTTTTTTTTTTTTCTTTAAAATTTTCCATTTTAAGTTGGTTATTTTTGATTTATATATAAAAGCAAATAATAATTATATGGTTTGATTTCATCAAAAATTGAAATATTGGGGTTCTTTGATATGCTGAATCTAACCGTGTATTTAGATTCTTTATTTTTGGTCCCGTTTTCAAATTGGTCTACATTAAGGTCCAAATTAAGGGTCCAAAATTAAACTTAGTTTGATTTTAACAAAAACTAAATTCTTGGGGTTCTTTGATATGCTGAATCTAACCGTGTATGTATTTAGATTTTGGATATTGGACCATAATAGGTAAATTAAAAATTTTAAGTTCTTAGACCACATTCATTCTGTGTCAGAAACCTATGCTGTGTCAAATATTTAATCACAATCCAAATTCAGAGCTGTATCAAGCTTGAATGTTGTGTCCATACTTGCCCCAACTGTTCAGGGTTCGACCTCTTCGGTCGTATCAAGCTGCGCCCAGCGGAGCATTTTATTTTTACATTATTATGATTTTTTTTTACAACCAATACAATTATATGTTAATGAACTATTATTGTATTTTAGTTAATTGTTTATTCCGGGTTTCTTGTGATGCAAAATTGGATTGGAATTAATCTTCTCTTCAATGGCCGGGCACTTCGACTGACTGTCTGTGTCTCAGTGTCATGATTTATTATCTGTTAGCTCCAAATGTTCATTATTTCGATATAACTTGTCCATAAGTTTAGTTCTAGTGTAAAGACGCGTTTCATGAAAAATGTTTCAAAACTGGAAAAAAGTTTTGTGAAAATATATCTGTAAATCTTTCAAGTTCTTTCTGGAAAATTAATTGTTATGCAGACCATCGAGGTAAATATTCCTGTAATCTTAGATTAATACGACCCAAGAAACGGGTAATGTGTCAAAGAAACAAAAATCTGAGCAAAACAGAAAACAGCCCAAGGCCACTAATGATCACTAATGGGTCCTCGACGCAGCGTGAAAATCCCGCTTCCGGAGGTGGGCTTCAGCTTGCCCCTTAAAAAATCAGTTTAGTTGAATAGATGGAACAAAAATGTGCATCTATCTATTTTTGCCTGAAATCCTTAAAATTATAATGAATAATATAACAGTTTTGATGTAAATGGACAGAAAATAGATCTCAATCCTCCGAACATTTTGGCCTTGAAATATTTTCTCTATCTATATAGGACATATAGCGGTTTTCAAGATAATAGACGAAACAAGCCGTTCTCGTCAAAACTATATTTAAACCATGTTTTCGAAAAAATTACACACTGAGAATTAAAAAAATCACACTGAAATTTAAGAACCTAAAATAACACACTGAGAAATCGAAATTACACACTGA